GGCAGGTGCGGACGGCCGAGGATACCTCCAGGACAGGTGACGTTCCGATAAAGACCGTCCCCCTTGTCGACTCCGACTGTGGCAGCGGCCGGGCGTCTGCCGTCCCTGACCCTTCCTCTGTTGATCCGCCCTCAGACCCATCGACCGATCGTATTTGTTTGATGTTTTCTGACGTGACTTCACTGAAAAGCTTTGACTCTCTTACAGGCTGTGGAGATATTATTGCAGACCAAGAGGACGAGGCAGGGCCCAGCTGTGACAAGCATGCCCCGGGGACAGGCAAGCCAGGTGTGTCTAAAAAGAACCCCAGCGTGGTGGCCTACCAAGGAGGCGGGGAGGAGATGGCGAGCCCGGATGGGGTGGATGACACCTATCTGCAGGAATTCTGGGACATGCTCTCCCAGACTGAGGACCAAGGACAAGGGCCCCCCGAGGGACTGGCTAAGGCCGCCTCAGCACTGGACGCCAAGGGGGCTCCCGAGACCTCCAAAGACACCCGGGGGGTCGAAGTGGCCAAGGACGTGTCCTCGGTCAAGCGCAGGAGGCTCAACCGCATTCCCATTGAGTCGCAGCCCAAGGAGGAGCCCAAGCACCTGCAGAAGGAGCAGCAAGAAGGCGTCCCCAACAGTGACGAGGGCTACTGGGATTCCACCACCCCAGGCCCCGAGGAAGACGGCACGGGCAGCGGGAAGAAGGCGGGCATCTCCAGGGATAGCTACAGCGGCGATGCGCTCTACGATCTCTACGCGGATCCGGATGGAAGCCCGGCAGCCCTTCCTGCCAACGAGGAGGCGTCCTGTGTGTCTAGGTTAAAGCCCGTGTCCCCAGGCACCATCACCTGTCCACTGCGAACACCAGGCAGTTTGCTGAAGGACTCTAAAATCCCCATCAGCGTCAAGCACCTCGCCAACCTTCCGTCCAGCCATCCCGTGGTGCACCAGCAACCAGCCAGGAGCGAGGTGCCCAGAACAAAAATCCCAGTGTCCAAAGTGCTCGTCCGCAGGGTCAGCAACCGAGGCTTGGCTGGGACCACCATCCGGGCAGCGGCCTGCCACGACAGTGCCAAAAAGTTGTGAGGTCTCTGAGGCCAAGATGGATGGACCACATGTCAAGGAATACAACTTTCCCTGGTAACCACTGAAATAAGTTTTGCTTTTCCTAAAGAAAGGCTTTGAGGACCGTCTCTGCTACAGAGCCTGGACGAGGGTCTTTGTCCCCGCTGGGGCAGGAGACACTAGAGAGGGGATCCACACTGCACATGGGAGTCTCCTCCCCAAGATAAGTCCCTGGGAATTATTTTCAGCACTTTTTTTTTCTTTTTAAAAATATGTTTTCTGTCTTTTTTCTTTAATGCACTGAATACTTGGAAGTCATCTTTACTTGCCTTTTCAGAAAGAGGACCTAACCAAACCGAAGTAAGTGTCAGGCCATGATGTTTGGCCATGCCAGGGTCCAGAGGTCTGGAGGAGCCACTGCAAGAACCAGAAGAGTCCTCCTCTTCCATGATCCTTCCCTTCCCCTTCCCCTTCCCCTTCCCCTTCCCCTTCCTCTTCCCCTTCCAGGGGGTGGGGTGGGGGGCGGGCAGGGAAGACCCTTTGCTGTATGGAAAACACCTAGGAAGCTGGGAAGAAAAAAACACCCCAAAACAACCAGAACAGGTATTACCTGATGAGCAGAGGGCATCATTGATTGGCAGAAAATTTTCCTAGTTTCAGTTGCTAGGTATGCAAATAGGTAAATATCTGCCACTGGGTCAAAGAAAGAAGAGTTTTGGTTTGATCATCTGTTTGGGGAGAAAAATGCTCAGCAGAGCAGGTTTTTTCCTTTTTGTTGTTTTCCCACCCCACGCAGAAATCAGGACTGGGGAAAGATTTCGTTCCATGCCAACAGACCCAACATTGCAGCATTTATAAACTGTCACTTTTCATGTGTAGATAATGCATATTTTACCGTTTATCCAGCTGTTAACATTTTATAATCTGTTCGTAACCTCAAGTTTAAAACCTGGTTTTATAGCTAAATATGGTAACTGTCCCCAAACCATTGATATTCTTTTATGTGCCGTAACCTGCAGCAATTCTGTTTTTGTTTTATATGGGTTCTCTGGCTTTCAGTGCACAAACAAACAAACAAAACTATTGTGTTGCTGTTCCAGAGCATTGGTTCTGCCTTGTCTTGGTAAGAGTCTGTTTCTTACACAAAATCTTGATTTTTCAGAGATTTTACCTTTGTTATAAAAAATTTTGGATTCAACCGTCCCTCAATATGGGGATTCTAAAGTGAGGAACACACAACAAACAACAATAGAAAAATATAGTTTTTCATATCATTAGACTTCTGCTTTATAGACTTAAGACTGAGACAGGTTATGTTCAGAATATAACACTGGCAAGCGTATATATCATAAACACTTTATGCCAAGATTTTTTGAAAAGTGGCTTACTTTGTGTACATTCTCTATTATTTGAGATGAAATATTTATTTCAGAAAGGGTTCCCATATGCCTCGGTAGTTTGAATTATAAACTGAAGCAGTTCCTAGAATGCTGTTAGGGTCTAATGATTCTACAACAGTGTCTGAAATGCACTTCAGAGCGTTTAATCAAGAGACCAGAGTTTCTGCTAGGAAGTGACTCACGGTGTCAGGAAGATAGACATATTCAAGGGAAACTACACATGTAAATGACATCAACACTTCTATATAACTTTCGTTTTTCCAGAGATTGCCTAAGTAATGAACTGATATTACATGTTTTTTAAGTTTGTTTTGTGTAAAGGAAAGAATAAGATAAGTATACGAAAGCCTATTTGAATAATATGAATGAAGTAACAAAATAAATAGTCATCAAAGGAAAACAAATTTGAGGCAGTTTTAAAATCTCCATTTTACATCTGCAGTGATTTGGTTAGAAGAGGTGGTAGAGATTTGCCAAATTTTTTGTTAGATTACTGGCTTTTATTGCATTGTGTCAGATTCTTAGTGTTATTTCAAAGTAATGTTTCATTTTCTTGTGCTATAGATGAGGTCCTATACTCAGGCATAGCCTTAAGAACTCTGAATACATCATTAGGAATTCATAAAGCAACTCACACTCACACGTGCTAATGCACTCAACTGTGCACAAACTAACAGACAAAGGCATCGACTGTAAAATTGGAAGTTGAAGTATTTGAAATGTTTTCTGTCTTGAGAAATGAATTTAAATTTGACTTAATGCTGATAGTACTATTTAGGCTCAAAAAACATTCATTTTCCCCTAGTGAATGGAAAGAACATAAATTTTATTCCTAACTGTAAATTGAAGCATCTTTATTTTCTTTCTGTGAATTTTCTTGCAAGGATTATATTTCTTCAGTGAGAATCCATGGCAAAGTTATGATTGTTCATTTGTTCAGTTGTACAGGAAAGTTGGGAGTACCTGAAGTATTGATGAGAATACTGTAATAGTAAAGGCAATCTATCTATTTATTTTGTAAGCACTGGAACAAACTATTTTTACTTTCACAGATTTGGGGCTTATTTCTGTATTTACACTGCTATTCTGTGTCTTCTTTATATAAGTAAAGGAAAATGGCAGCAAAGTGTATTTCCTCTGACCTGTCCATTAACCATTTATACAAGATTGAAAACATGTTTTCTACTCTTTTTTCCATTTTTTCTCTATATCTTTAAGAATTCCACGTACACCAGTCAAATGAAGGATTCAGGCAATGAATTAAATGCCTTCAGTCACTTGATGGGAAATCAGGACCAGTGTAGGAAGAGTGTGTTCTTAACCTTTTCCAACCGTAGACAAGGGGTCAGAGCTGTTTGTTTGTGTTTTTGTTTGTTTGGTGCCAAGGGCTACTTTTATCCATTCATGTTCATAGAGAGTGGACTTTTAAAAAGAATTTTAACAGATTTCCATTTCAATGATTATTAATGCATTGTCTAATTTGGCCATATTTCCTGATTTTTTTTAAAGGAAAGGATTGGATATGGGCTGATGACACCTTTCCCTAGTATGATTCTGAGATGCTTGGTTGACTAAGTCCCTGTGGTGAAAGAGCTAGCCAAATTAGAAAACAAAAAGTCAAATCAATTGTTGGCTCTGAATTTATTGGTCAGTGTAATAGCTCTGCACAAAGACGGCCTGATTTTGGTATCTACATTACACAGACGTTACTTGAACCACTGTTCGTGGTGCTATTGGTGGTTGATGCTTTTATTCTCCCATTAGCACCAATAAGGAGAAATTTTACTGCAGCATTTTGAATAATTACAAGAGAAAGTAGATCTTTATTATTTCATCTAACAACAACAATGGAATATAGGACATTAAGGATTTTTTTTGGATACCTTTCCCACAAATTATCTGCCTACTTAAATACAAAGTGTTTAACATCTATGAAGGTGACAACTTATTGAGTTTAAAGGGTTTACTAATTAATTGCAGAACTAGTTTTCAAGTATTTGCATTTAAATGAAAATTCAAATAGCCCTTTCCCCACATAGTTATCAAGGTAAAAGGATATATTAGATATCAAGATCTCTTTGAACTTTCTAAGAGTTTTCATTATTGATATCTTAGATTAATTTTCAGAGACTCTTTATCTTTAACTTTGTAGGGAGAGGTTGAGTAATGGAACTTTCTGTCTTCTCCCTTTGTTTCCATCATGTTTGCTTCATGCCCTCAGATAACAGTAATGGGATCTTTCTCATTATTTAGCGCCTTTTGACATTTGCGTTGTGGAACTCATTTCCTGGGTTTAGTTATTCTAGATTTCTCTCCTGATGATGATTATCTGGACTTGGCCCCTGTGCTTGACTGCTACTGAGACATGTTCTAGTACATTCACATATACTTTGCTACCCTTATTGTCATGAAGTTAATTTAGGAATTGTTATACTCTTAAAAATAAGGAAGAAAAAACATCACAGTCACCTCCTATCACCATTGAGGATGGCCAATTCAAAGTTCCTGGATGAAATGAGAGGAGGCACCCAAATACTTCAGTCTAATCCTGTTTCCCTTACCCTTCTCCAGGCAGACCAAGGTGTGAATAACAGTTCTTATTTAGGGATTTTCAATTCGTTACATGAAAAAATTTATGAAACGGTTTGAAACCAAAAGGCTAGTATGGCAGACTATTGTTTAAAATATATATATTGATTTCAGAGAGGAAGGGAGAGGGAGAGAGAGATAGAAACATCTATGATAAGAGAGATTCATTGACTGGCTGGCTGCCTCCTGCACACTTCCTACTGGGGGTGGAGCCCGCATCCCAGGCATGTGCCCTTGACGGGAATGAAATAGGGACCCTTCAGTCCACAGGCCAATGCTCTAGCCACTGAGTCAAACCAGCTAGGGTGAGACTGGTATTTTAATATAGCCAGTGTGGGCAATAAGAAGCAAACATTTTCCTTCATACAAAAAAGCAATGTAACATTGTCAGGTGATATGCAAATGTGGTCCCTCCCCAGGGCAGTCATTGATTCTGCTACCCCTTCCTGCTCTGAAGATTTTCTGATGGCTGCCATGGATTGCTTCTCAAAGTCTTTTCACTGTGATAATGGTTTAAAGGAGATAGTTTGTTGCAACGATAACCATGTAAATGGAATATTATTATCTCATTGCAGATAATGTTTTTAAGGAGTGACTCAGAATGGTAGTTCGATGATTATGGAAGGGAGTTTCTTCTCGAACTGAAAAAGGAAAGATTAAAATAGTCACAAAGCCTGAAACTGGGCATATTTTATGATGGATATTTACTTTAATTCAATGCAACACATATTCATGGGCATATACTGCAGCAAATACTTAATAAAAATCCATTGGAATTCACACGTAACTATACTGTAATTGGACATATCCATTAAAAATGCCTTTATTTTGGTTTAACATTTTTTTAATTTTCTTTTTTTGTATTTGTTGCCTATAGTTGGTGGGGTGGAGCAGAATGGGGTGCGGTTGAACAAGGGTGGTATGGATTAAGCCACATAGTAGTTACAACAATGATTAACAGTTGTTGAGTACTTACTGAGTGCCAGTGACCGCTAGGAGCTTTAAAAGTCATTATTTAGGCCTCTTAAGAGCCATATAGGTTAGGTAATATTATCTCCCTTATATGAGATCTTTAGTTCATCCTTTTTGTTTGTTTCTATCCCAGTCCATCTCCCCTCCCCCAATTTCTTCTAGTCTCTGGGACAGGGATCTAAATTCTTTAGTGATTTATGATAATACCAGAGCTGAGAACTGCTTAGTGTCATTACCAACTTACTTTCAATAGGAAAAAAGCTAACCCATGTCAAGAGGCTGGAAATTGGTTTTGTGTCTGAGATGATGGTGCTCAGGTCACTGATAGGGAAACCTGCCCCGTGGTGCAGTCTGTCTTCCTTTGGAGATATCCTCTCCTGGACAGAAGTATGGACAGAAATCTTTTCTGTTGTCATGGTGACACTTCTTCCCTGACAGGATGTCAGTCATTCCAAGCATGTTTCATTTGTTCTGAATGTTCTCTGTTTAGATAATAACTAGCTGGATAATCCCTTGATAAAATTCTGAACTTCAGAGATAAACTGGCTTTTTCAAAAGTAGTGCATCCTACCTTCTGTCTACAGCCATTGAATCCTAGCCTATATTTTCTGATTCATTCATTTAATTAATAAATATTGCATATTTATTTTCCATCACTGTGAACTTGAACATTTTATATTAAAATAACTAACATACTGTGCTGGGATGGTGCTCTGTGCTTTTCTTCCCATTGTGATCTCCAGTGCTCACAAGAAACAGGCAAGTGAGTATTGGCTCCATTCTACAGAGGAAGAAAACCATGCTCACAAAGGTGAAATATCTTGTTCACGTCACCCACGTAATAGGTAGTGGGCAGGATCTGAACCAGAAATCTAACTCTATAGCTCATGCTTTAATTATAAATCTTTTTTTATTCACATGATTCAGTTTTTGTATAACTTAAGTAAGAAACTGAGCAAAGTTCTGAACTGCAAGAGCCAAGCCAGATATTTATGATTGTTGATACCATTAAAATAATGTCTGTTTTAGCTAAAAGTGAACTTGTTATTTAAAAAAAAATTACTTGATGGCTGTATACATGCAGCCATCAGGTTTTTTCACACCTGGGCTAGCCTACTTTTGGATTATATTCACCAATTAGAGTTACATACTAGCAGACCTACATACAGCTGTTATGATATAATTGCTTTGTCAATAATAAAGCAAAAAATAATTTCAGTAGTGAACCTGGCAGGTTGCAACCTGAGTTTTCTTCTGCTCTGATTCTATTAAGATGCCACTCTCAGTATTTAGGGAAAATTTGTTTGAAATTGCATCACAGTGATAATCAATGAGGTTATTTTACTAATATAAGGGCTACCTACACTTGGTAAAAAAAAATAGACCTCATTTTAATGAGATGCAGTGGAAGATTTCAGTAACAGGTGGTTGGTTATTCTATTGTGTAGTGAACTGGGGTAATTTTTGGAAATTATTTAATAATTTGGTAGAGTTTCTGCTTCATGGGAGAAGATAACATTTTTTTAAACAAAATAGAACTCAGGTTACTTGTTATTAGAGACATTTAACTTGCTCAGATACACACATGGATCATTTAATAAACTCAAACAGAAATACTAAAAATATCTGGTCAAATTGCAGATGGGCATAGTGTAGACACACAGTAAATACTCGTTAACATGTCATGAAATGGCTCTAGATAGCCTATAGGAATTACCACCCTCCTCCCCCAACTACACAATTATTTTTAAATAAAGGAGGAGAAAGTTAACAACCCAATACTTAAGGTTTTTATTGCTCCCAGGGTAAATTTAACTGAACATAGATGATCTGATTGATAGTGGTAGTTTTATAAAGAATATCAGGGAAATGGTTTTAATGTTATAGGCAAGGTAAATTCCTGTCATTTTTACTTGACTCCAGCTATCTACCAGGCTCATTGCTAACTTCAGGTTTTGTCCAACTTGTTTATGTGAAATAGCTCAATGTAATATGGGGAATTGCAGGTTATTTGAAAATAATGACAAAGAAAACCCAAATGAGAAACTCCATTCTATAATTAGTTTTCCCAAAAGTCAGGCATGTCTTTGAAGACAAGCT